TCTACTTTTATTCCGTACGTTTTCTACCTATGCTCTATTCTGTTAGTGTAAAATTATTATATAGTTTACACAAATCTTACAAAAACACTACGTGTCATTAGGTCTATGCATCAATGAAAGTCTCTAATGAGATATATTATTTACAGTAGAGATTAGTGTTAGGGGGTCTGGGGCTATGCCCCCCAGAAAATTAATATAATAACATAACTTACAGTTGCAATATATGTAAAAGTTGGGGGTGTTATAGCCCCAGTGGTTCTTACGCATCTGTTGAGAGCCATGTATCTGACCATTCAGAGATCAATGATTTTTAGTAACAAAGCTTCCATTTATATATACAACTTGGGAAACATTTTTGATTCCCAAAGTTATCTTTTTGTTTTTTATTATCTGAATGTTTATGTCGTTACGTGTCCACAGAACAAAGTCACAAAAATCTGTACCTGCAGCTTCCCTTGAATTTGATAACAAAATAACTAAGTTTCAGATTTTCATTGCGGCAGAAGTTGTTTTTGTCTCAGCACTTTTTGGACACTTTACTTCTAATATTCCATTACTCGCAATTACTTCATCTGGCTATGCGCCAAGGAATCCATTTTCAATATCTACAAAGATGTCCGAAGGTTCAACAGTTATATGTAGCAGTGGTATAGGCAAGAATTACATTTTGTTAATTTTGCTTGCCATATTCAACAGCTGGTATATTTAGGTCAGCATTATACAACATACGTTTTTATGAGACAGGCTCATAATGTTGTCTCTCTCATCTTGCATACGTCGTCAAAGTGTGAAGCTATCAATCAGTTACTTTCTCTCCTCTTTCCATTTTGGGTTTCTGTTCTGTCCCTTTGTTTCACTCTCAATGTTATACATAATCTCTTATGATACCTACAGTTTCATTAGAAATTCTGTTTTTCTCCTTTGATGTTCATTTTTTGTTAAATCATGTTGCTGACTATTTGGTCCATAGTCAAAGTTGTTTGCTAATAACTTTACAACTTCACAGCGTTTTTCTCTTGTTTTTTTATTGTTCATTTGCCTAGGGCATTTGCAGCCATCTTCGTGATGATTCGTTCCAGTTTTGGTAACATTTGTGCTTAGTTGCTGTCCACCTTTTCTTGTTCGTGGCACATATGCAACAATATTTGTTTCGAATGCCAAAAAAAGAAGAGTACCTTCCTTGCTCAATGACCAGTTATGACTGTGACTCCAGTATTATAAGAATAATGATGACCGTAGCTTGTTCCCCAGCCAGCATCAGCAATAGTTTTTTTTCCATGGAACTCCATCTGGATCCACATTCCTTGCGTCTTAAGATAATCGAAATTCTTCTTTTCCAATTTCTTCCATTTATGTCTGTATAAAGTCTTCTACTACCTGCAAAAATGTGTTTCAAAGTGGTAATAAAATCTATTTCCGGTGATTTCAGCAACTATATACAGTATAGTTATTTGACACTTTATGTTCATTGCATATAGACATTTTACTGTATTTGTATTACGAGTGCAAAAGGTACTTTTTGTTTTTACTTTTATTTTGCCCCTCAGTGGTACAGCGGTATGTCTGCGGGCTTATAATGCTAGAATCCGGGTTTCGATACCCGTAGTGGGCAGATCACATATAGCACATTGTGTAGCTTTGTGCTTAATTACAAACAAACAATACTTTTATTTTATAAATATCATTAGCATTTTCTTCGCTGTGCCACTGGGGGCCCCATTATAGTCATACTTTATAATGTATAAATACATAACAAGGATATCGCTGTTCTGAAACTTGTCTAGCTTATAGTGTAACGAATTTGTTGTTATATATATTTATTTTAATGTCAACGTTTGTTTGGATTGAGTTTATATTTAAAAACATGCCTAGCTTATAATATGTATTGCAAAACTCCCGACTATTCTCCAAAGATGTAGAAGATTCTCGAGAGTAAGAATCAAAAGTATATATGTGTACGTAAACGCTTTAATTTGCATTGTTGCGTAAACTGAATTTTTTTAGAAAATCTTCCCACGCCTATAAATATAACCAACGCGACGCGACATGTATATCTATATAGTTCGCTATAGTCAGTGTGCTATAACTTTGAAAGCTATAGCTGTGATTGTTATAACGCTTACAAATCGGTACACTTCGGATATTTGACCAGTAGCATTTACAAAGTTCGAACATTACAACTCATTTAACTTCAGTGGATTCTCATCGGACATTAGTATTTTTACGAAAACATTATATAACTTCAACAGTGGAAAACTCAGCTTACAAAGCTAGCTAGTTTCCCGGCGAATCGTATCTACACCAACTCGTAATTAACTCGCTCATCGTGAACTCTCGACAATATATCAAGGAAGTTCCAAACTAGAAAGAAGACCATATTGCTTGTAACTTTGTGAAACTTTTGTTTATAAATCACTGTTTGTAATAACTGTTATTGTAAATTGTATTGTTGTATGTATATTAAAACATATTTGTGTTAAAAAAGAAAACTGTGTGTATCAATCCTGTTGGCAAATGTTACAAACTGACTATATATCGGCATTTATTTAATACTAAGTCCAAGTACAATTTAACTACTAAATTTAAATTATCAGTTAACTCAATTTCAGACTACTTGAAATTCTAATACATAACATTAATTTTACAGTATAAATCTTAACACTTTCGCATATACATACAAAATAACTACAATATATTTCAGAAGACAGTTCGGTGTATTTCAAGACACGTAAAGTTGTGAAACTATATAAATATAATAGTACTGTCTGTTGTATATCCACATAACTACTTCGCAGGGTGTGGCTGGATTTCCATCAAAATTTTCAGTTTTGCGGTTTTTATAGGCATTTTTTACCACTACTTCGTCCCCTGTAGATGGATCTTCAACAAAATTGGTATGTAAGTTCATTGGGTCCATGGAGAGATACATACAAATTTTCCGTTTTGCGGTTTTTATGGGCGTTTTTTGCGTTTTCCCGTTTTTTACCACTACTTCGCCTCCTGCTGATGGATTTTCACCAAATTTGGCTAGGCTTGTTGGGTCCACAGGAAGATACGTGCAAACTTGGGGTTTCACATTTTGTGTTTTGCAGTTTTCATGGATGTTTTTACGTTTTTTTACAATTACATATAAGGGAAGAAAATTTTCATGTTTATGGGACTGGTACTATAGTTGGAAATAATGTTCAACTTCACTTACGAGCGGAACCCTACAAAGAGATAAGTAAATCGGCTGGTTGTGCCTACAAATCACACACACGTACAACTAGGGTCCTCTATTTGAAAGATACATGTTCAAAAAATACTAATTTAATTGTAAAAAAAATATTTTATTTAACACTTCAAATTGATCTTTTAAAAACATATTTCTTCATTATTTTAATAATGAGGCTTTAAATTGAATGTTTTCATACTTTTCTTACAAATTTTTAGATACCGTCGACAAATATCTAACTGATAGAAGTATCCAACAGTATGACGTAACAAAAATTAAAAGTTAACAATCAATTCACATTTAAGGACCCATCATTATTTCTTGTGTTATTTGTAGTTTATAAAATCATTGTTAAAAATCTCAGATATCTTTGTTAAATAACAGCAAAGCAACGTCGAAAATACTTTGCTCAAGTATAGGGCTGAAAATGTTCAGTTATTTTAACTTCCTTATTATTATTTTTTATTTCTACTTTTTGTATGTGTAAAAGTGTACTAGCGCATTTCTTGATTTTTTATTTTTGTATTAAAGGGAAGTCATGTATCTTTGTTAAAAATTTTTTTGTAATATATCATAACCTGTTTTTTGTATTTTGTTCGTAGTGGATTTTTTAAAGGTATTATTTGATTGTGTATCGTGTTTTAAACCATATTTTATATGGTTATATTGTATATTAAAGTTATTTCATGTATTTTAATGTTAAAGTACGTTTTCTTTATTCATTTGAAGCGATCGAAAGGAAAATGTTTGTTTGTTTGTTTGTTACGGATTTCGGGCAAAGCTACAAGAGGGTTATTTACGCTAGCCGTCCCTCATCTAGCAATGAAAGGCTAGAGGGAAGGCAGCTAGTCATCACCACCAATCGCCAACTCTTGAGCTACTCGTTTAGCAACGAATAGTGGGATTGACCGTCACATTATAACGCCCCCACGGCTGAAAGGGCGAGCATGTTTGGTGTGACAGGGATTCAAACTCGCAACCCTCAGATTGCGAGACAAGCACCCCTAACCACCTGGAACTCAGTTTTTAAGTTATCAACTATGGAACACTTCCGTTATTTCTTGTTAGAATCTGCTGTTTTTGCGAAACACAGCATATCGTATACTTGTAGGGAAACCGGTTTCGATCCCAAATACCACAAACGAGCGTTTTTGACATGTTAATGTTGTCACTTGTTTGTAAAGCTACCCAACATCTGAGCGGTGACTATAATTTACTTTTTTTTTTGCTTTATGATATATATGACACTTTTTTCCTTGTAAGATTGGTATTGCCTACGTTTCATACAGTTAGTTTTTAAGTTTTCTTCTGTATACATAGTTTGTCTTGATCAGGAAGTTTCCTATGTTACACTCGTGTCAACGTTTCAGGTGAAATTAATGGAAATAGATTAAAAGCAACGATCTCTACAACAAAGTGCAAAAATAGTTTAATATGTGTCATGGTTTAGAGACCAGGTACATATGATTCAAATGCAAGATTTGGTATGAAATAAAAATATCGCCCTACTCAAATAACACGTAAACCAGCCATTAGGCCTAAAAAAAAAAAAAAAAGAATATACACCGCTTCAGCGTTATTAACTTAGAATGTTCCGTAACAAAATTAACAATAAGTATAGTATATTTTAACCATAACAATGTCACTTCTGTTTTTTCAAATATTTCAGTTTAACTACAGACACGTACACTATGAGCTAGCCTCCGTTAAAAATATCCACATATATATATATATATATATATCAAATCCTAATGTGAAACATCTAATTATGAAAAAAATATTCTTATCGTGAATTTTGTTAAATACATTCCAATTAAACTAGTTTTCGAAACTTGAAATAGTCTGATAACTAAACCAACGAAATTTAGAAAATGTTCCAATTCTTTCTGGTTTAGAAAAAAAAGGGGGTGGTGGTGGTTTAAAGGTCATTCACCTGTCCTAAAAATAAAATCAAACCGCTCCGGTTTTCCCGAATGAAGAAGAGAAATGGGTGATTAACAATGAAAGATGGTTTTAAAGACAATGTCTCAACAAGTGAAGCCGTGCTAACAACGACTTTACTTCCTTGTTCATCTACTTCCAACAAAGCCTTATGTCGTATGCTGGACAGGTAAAGATCTCCAGCAGTGGTAAGTCTCGAAAAGTCGGCAACTCCTGGAATAAAAACATTAGTAAGGCCTAATTTTCGAAAAGGTTCTTCCAATTCATATTCCTTGTCCATCTTAAACTTGGGAATAGATATTTCTACTTCGGTTTCGTGTAGTTGCGAAACAACATCTTCAAACTTTCCGAGACTTAAGACTGCCCTTAACTTACTTAAACCTTGCATTTCACGAGGAAGGACGAAGATCATGTTGAGATCCCAGCCTGTATAAGGCAACGCAAGGATAAAGGCGTCCAATTCAGGATCAAACCCGTACGGAAACTTGCTCTTCTTGTGCATCATAAACACTTGTGTCTCGTTTGTACCATTATTGTAAAAACTTTCTAATCTGGTTTTGCTCCCATCAAATTCTTTTTGCCACGATCCTTTAAAAGACACAATGCTTAGAAGTAGCAGTTGAGTTAATGGGTTTAACGGACTCCAAAACATCTTTTGTATTTTGTCCTGCGTCTTCCATCTAATCCAACTGTTTATCCACTGAACTGTCGTTTCAGGATCTTCCTGAAAATCTACGTTTTGAATTGAAGCATTATAAAATTGAACCAGCTCAGTTTTGTAACTAGGCTCAATTTCAAATCCTTTTTGTATGACAAAAGCATTTGTTGTTTTTAGTTCGTAGTGTTGTTTGCGTTCCAAAACTGATGCAATAAGCTGGCGAAAACTTTCATGGAACTCTTCATCCATTAGACCACCTTCTTCCAAGTCAAACAAATTTCTTATCTGGGCAGCTGTGCTGTTTTTGGTTCCCAAGTAAGTCATACCCATTATCGTTGCAATACTAAATGGCGAGAAGAATACGTTATCAGACGTTGCAAAATATTGGAATAATTTCAAAGCAAGTGAGTTACTTGACTTAGTTGCCAGACCAGATACAGCAGCAGAGCCTTCTACCGATAGGTGCATTACCAAAGCACTGATGACGATTACCAGTAGGGGTCGCACAGTTGTAAATTTCATCTTCACCCTAAGACACAAAAATATAATGATTTATTTTAATAACCAGTAGCTAGAATCTGTTTAGATATACATAATATCTGTTGTTAGATACGATTAAGTAACAACGCTATATTTATTATTAGCAGTATTATTTAATTCAAAAACTAATCTTTTGATGATAGCTCCTAAGTAAAGACAATTTGTTTGTTTGTTGTTAATCACAAAGCTACAAAATAGGCTATCTGTGCTGAGCCCACCGCGGGTATCGAAACCCAGTTTTTGGAGTTATATGTCCTCAGACTTATCGCTGAGCAATCTGGGGAGGGAAGAAGGCGAGTAATGTTAAAGGTCATGGATTAAGCAACGAGTGCAGAGTTGTACAACGAATTGTAAAATAATAGTTTAATACGTGTCATGGGTCATAGACCAGGTAATTATGTTTGTATGATTCAAGTGTAAGAAAGTAATTATATCTGCCTACTTAAGTCATGAACTTTAAACCTTATGAGTCAAAAGCCGCGCACGCTATAGGTGATACACGTCTGATATAATTAATGAAATGGACGTATTATTGGTTTAATGTTTGTAGAATTAAAGTTTTGAAGTTTTCGTGTAAGTGTTACGGTACTTATAAAGCACCTGAATGATAACTATTTCTTTTCTTTCTTTTTAGACAAAAACGCATAATGATTTAAATAATACAAGCCGTTACTAAATATCCCGATCTCTTACACTAATTCAAAAACTGCTTAAAGAAAAAACGACACTGATGATATTTTTAAAGAAGTGTGAATTGAAATCTCAACATTTAAGAGTAGTTTTTCTCATGCTCATAACAAGGCTTAAATTAAGGAAGAACGTGTGGGTGGGATTGGGTGATACTCATAACAGGGCTTAGAATAAGGAAGAACGTGTAGGTAGGATTGTATTATGGTCATAACATAGCTTAGAGTAAAGAAGATACGTGTGGGTGGAGTTGTGTGATGCTCGTAACATGGCTTAGAGTAAGGAAGAACGTGTAGGTGGGATGTTTTGATACTCATATCGGGGCTTAGATTAAGGAAGAACGTGTAGGTGAGGTTGTGTGATAGTTATATCGAATACGTTAACGACCATGATAATATCCATAAAGGACATTTTCTCGTAGTGACGTAGACACCATAAAATATATAAAACTGATTTATTTTTATTTTTAACACCAAACAAGTGTAATTATTTTCGTTCAGGAGGGAATGGGACTTACTGCAAAAAAACTAGTTGTACTGTGTGTTTATTAACAATGCATGTGGTCAAAAACTGAAGCTTCAAAATGGCACGTTTGTTTCCTTTTCAGATGAGGACATAAGCCTCTTTCTTTAATTATGCTAAGTTCGTAATTCGCTACAACCAACGCTTCTCCATCTAATAACAATTAAGATTACATTTAGTTTTCGTCGATAGATGTCTCTGTATTCAGTTTCAGAGACTTGGTGAATTCAACAGGCATAAGCACAAATCCTTTATCTACACTGAACTGTACTTATCATACATAATTTTATTTTGGGGTTTAAAAAGTAAATTGTATTTTTGCGGAGGCTAAATGTCTCCATGCAGCAATAAATGTATTACAAAGACACGGATCATTCAACTAGTCAGCAAAATATACAATTATTATACGAGCGCTTTCTAAAGGTGGACCTTTCTTCTTCAGTTTGCCCCTGAAGAAGAAAGGTTCACCTTTCGAAAGCGCTCGGGATTATAGGATTTTTATTCATTTCTATCAAGACTTCTTGACCCTATGTGTTTTTCTAACATCATAAACAATTATTATACAATATATATTTATGGCAAGCAATCCGATTTTCACTGAAGCTCGTCAGTGTGCCAACTCACGAAACAGGTTTCTTTCTTTGCAAAAGTTTAAACTTAATAGTGTTCTCTATCGACGCACTTTGAAAGTTTTATAAAAATTTAAAAATGTTCGAAAAATACGAGTAAAAAAACACGAGAACCGACATTCTTCGGCACAATGGAAAGTAAAATGTTTATAATTAGTTAATTATAACTAATTAATTACCGACTAGCTTCGTTAACCATCATAATCGATAAACATATATATATATAAACTTACATGATTGTTTGTTTGCTTTAGCGCAACGATACATAATGGCTATCTGCCCATTGTCCAACACGAGGAATCGAATCTCGAATTTTTAGCTTTGTAGGTCCGTGACCAACTGGGGGGAGAACATTACATAAACAAAATGTCGCAGCTTTCAGTAAACTTTAAGTTTAGCCTATACGTGTCTCATTTTGAACTGTTAAGATTTAAAATAACTTGATTTTCTTAGTCTTTTTTTTTATCTGCGAAAATATGACGCTTTTCTTTAAGTCTAGTTTCTTGAACTTAGAAACTTGTTATAAATTTTTATTGATTATCTCCCAGTGATTATGAACACAGTTGTCGTGTCATTAAGACAATGTAAAGTGAACGTGAGATTATGAACACAGTTGCCGTGTCATTAAGACAATGTAAAGTGAACGTGCGATAGTTGATTATCTC